TCCAGTAAAGACCGTAAAAACATTTAAAGGTAGATTCCTGAGATCATTTTGAAACGAAAATCCTAGTACCAAAATGTTGAGGCTATAATTTTTTGTAAGTTTTTGAATTATAAGCATTTAAAGTTAGCGAATCATATTACTTAAAATTTGTATAGATGTGATGGATAAATGCCAACATAAAATGCCAATCACATTTATATAAATATGTGCATTTTAGGCGATATATTCGCTAATTTAAAAATGCTTATAATTTAAGAACTATTATATGCCTCGACATTTTGGATTAAGACTTTTATTTATATATAATATGATTTCGAGAATCTGTGTTTAAATACTGTTAATGTCTTTACCGGACAGCTTTTGTATTTAAAAAAATTGTATATAAATGTTACAGCCGACAAAATGGGAGAAATGACTTTTTTATATTAAAATTTAGACCTCTTAAATAAAAATAATTTAAGGAAAAATATATTTTATATCTTTAAAATTGACATTCTAAACTGCAAGAAAAAAAAATTTTAGTATGGATCAAAAAGTTGAGCTATTCATCAACTTGGTCTGCGTTCCGATATTCACTGCTAGTATTGAAAAGCTATAGTGCACATTATGTATACTATACAGTCAGTACTTGTAGTGAATATCGGATCGCAATCTTAAAAATTTTTTTAAGATGCATAGATGGGTATAATTAGAAGGTATATTACTATTATTTAGCTAGATGCTCTTAGTGTTCTAGGTTCTTCCAAAATTCACTGCCAGTGCTGAAAATATATATAATATACGTAAACTGTAGATTTTCAACGCTGGTAGTGTGTGAATTTTGGAACACAATCAGTATTTCGAAGAAAACAAATGCATAGCAAACGAATAACTCAATCACTGTATTAAGATTTTAAATTTTTAAGCATGTTTGATGATCATGATACTTATTATGTATTTATATGCATAAATTTAAGAAAAGAATTATACGTGTGTAATATAATGTTTCATGTACTTACACTAATGAACAAAAGAAATATTACTATTAAGCCAATCGAGCTACAACATATAGTTATAAATGCGAAAGGACCAGCACAAATTGTAACTTCCTTTGCGTATCTGAATAAATGCATTACGTCAAAATTATTTAAAACTTTTGAATCAGATTATTCTTACGTAAGATAATCACTGTAGCATTTACTTGAGTAATTTTTGATGTTTTTTAATACATTTGAACAACTGATAGACATTTGTAGTTTTTTCTAGTTCTTTAGTCAGCATTTCAAATCTTGCCGATGCAAACCACAGCAACAGAGCCATATAAACATTTATGCATAGTTGTCCTGCTACTATTATTCCGGCGATAGATTGTTGTATAAAAATTATTGTTTTTAACGGTTGATACGATACATCAAATGGATATTCGGCAGCTGTTGGAAATGGTTGATGCTCTAAAGCAGGTATCACTGCGATAGCTGTGAATGTAAGCCAGTAGAAAATAAATATAGATGTACCATGAAATATAATACATTTATCAATGTATCGTTGAATCACAATTTCTTCATGTAATTTCATCAAGTCGCAAAACTGTATCATTTTGAAAGTAACATTCTGTAAATAATTACTTGAAATAATTGTTACTAATATATAAAAATAAGTAATCAAACGTGAGTTTTTATTTAATTTGGATGAATTTTTTAAATATTAAAGATAAATGTTGATTACCTGTATATGATGGTAATTAGTTATATGAACAATAAAATTAAACATAGCATGAATAACGCTACTTAACATAAGAACTTGCTTTGTTAAGACAGCAGGATTGTCAAGATTATTTGTTATACCATATATTAATGGTACCTGTAAACTTATTACTATAATTATGCCCAAATAATGATGCAGTTTCATACAGAGCATTTTCAATTTTGTCGCATTATGTGGCTCAGGCCAACTCCAAATTAGGAACAAACTTAATTTCACTACGGAGATCACTTCTTTTAATGTTACCTTTCTTCGCATGACTGAGGTATGCTATGTATGTTATATTGCAAATTGATATTACAGGAATAAAACTTCTTCCGCGAGTAGTTATGTATATGAATACGCTCCACACGCATTTGTAAGTATTTATTATAATGAAAGGGTGTAGTAAAGGGGAGTTACGAGAACATGTATTCTTGCATTTTTCCATTTCGCATGGGGTATACATAAATAAAATTATTATGATGCATGTGATACATGTGAGAGACGAATAGCGTATTTAAATTTAATAAGTTATAACATATATTCACTGCTTGTAAAAATGTATATGCATGATGCATAGTAAGATTTCTTCATAATTTCCCGAAAATGTTCGGGAAATTATGAACGCATCTAACAGGTTCATGTATATTTTAGATATAAGAAAGTAAGAAATGAATTTAAGAAATATTTCTCTCTATGAGATTCTAAAGTCTATTCTACAATGTGCTCTTTGTTTCTTGCTTTTTGCCTCTTTTTTTCCCTTTGCAACTATTTTATTGACAATTGCATTTTTGTTTCCTGTTTCTTTCGAAGTTCGTTAATTTGTATCTCGGACGTACGACATAAAACAAAAAATCGGATAAGAAACAAAAAGACAAGATGAGAAGAGAAAAAATAGCAAAAAACAGAAAACAAAAAGCACATTATAAAATAACCATAAATAAACTATATATACTATGTATTCCTCGTAAATATTGGAGAGAAACATACATTATTTTATAATTTGTCTATTATTCCATTATATATAACATACTTTTGTATTTTTGTACGAACTACAGTGAAGTAGTTTTAACTTATAGACTTTCAACACGCAATAGCTTCTTCATTGTACTCTACCTAATAATTTTATTGATGCATGTCCTGTCTACGATAGGAAATAAGTGTGCAGGAAGTAACATATGTTTCATTGAAACGCTACACAATGATGTTAGAAATATGGTCTTCACGTTCACGCAATCTGTGTATGTAATTGAGAGAAAAGGGAAGATTTTATGTAAAAGAAATAGATGAGAATAGTGCAATAGGCTATAGGTACAGCAAATCTATTTTGGAGATAATGTTGCGTTTTTTCAACTTCGCGTTGGAGTTATGCTTATTATTCGTGGAAATATATTCGAGGAAGTAGTATCGAGGAAAGATCAGGCAATGACCGCTAGATTTTAAATATATGCGGTTTTGCCGTTGTTTGATGTGCATGTTTGGTTCTATAAATTGTAGTCTTTTGAATTATTGCAGTGCATTAATGAAGTCAATGTTTTTTTCAAATAATGGAATCTGAATTATTTTTTGGGAAATTGTTTATGATCAAACAAAATCATCATGACAAAATCATTGGTAGATCTCGATTACTGCGGATGCGACATTTTTACATACCTCTTCAATATATTTAGAACTGCGTGTGATGTTATGATAACATTGAAAAAGAGAATATTTCACCAGATACGATAAAATCCAACTGAGTTAAGGGAAACGAAGGCATCGAAAAGTTTCGGTGATTAAAGAGTTTTAGCTGTAACAGAGAAAGATTAAGTTCTTCATGCTCCTCCAGTAGAAGATTGAAATCTGAACATCTGGAGGAGCGTGTCTAATTTAAATAACTGAAACTTTAAATATGTATACAAAGTTTCATCAAAGTAACCTGAGTGGTTTTTGAAATTTTTGAAAAAATAACATTTTTCTTTCAATTTTAGGATCCTGTATCTTTGAAACTATATACTATAAGTCGTTTCGGATATATGATCATATGTACGAAATTTTTGTCTTGAATTTGTGTGAGGAATCATTCTTTAAAATCTTTTTGAGTACTTAATATCTACCTGTGATTAAAGATCGCAAAGCATTCTCTTATAGAAGCATACAGAGTTGAGAAATTAAAGTTTTTAATAAACCAGGAACAGATATGACTATTGCTTGTACAGCTCGTTGAGCAAAGTACTTAATGTAATCTTTCGCAACTCGACGGTTTGATTATAATAATACAATGAATAATAGAGATCTTAGCAATTGTAGAATTCTGAAATATAAATTTAAAAAATACATATTTTACCTACTATATATATTCAATTTTAAACAATTATTTAAATTTACTGTTCTCGTTAGATCAGTCGGCTAAGCGTAGAGAAGTATTTTTGTGATGCAGTCAATACCGTTCGATTATATATTTAATTTTTACGAAAGTGACCGAAGTTTCTATTTAAAAAATACTTAAATTATAGAAACGTTTTTTATTCTCTAATATATAATTCTAATTTTTAATTTAAAAAATACTTAAATTATAAAAATGTTTTATTCTCTAATATATAATTATAATTTTTAATTTAAGCTATTTTTAAATACTGGAAATCTCATCAGCTTAAAGACAGTTCATTTTAATATTTAGTTTTAAATAATTATTAAATAGGTCAGACATTATATAACATGTCTGGTGCCGTGCATCTCTCGTGGATAGATGGAATGAATAAAATTGAATAGCAAAGTCCTTTATCGTTTTGTTAGTTTCTTAATCATTAACGAAAAATTCATTAGTAAAATTCTGTGGCGAATCAGCGGCGAAGAAAAGACAGCCCAGCGTTATTGCATGCTGATTGCTATGTGTGCGGCGAAATATTGGGAGGAGCGCATGTCTAGCAACCATCAATGATGCACAACGTTGGGTTGTATTTTACCAAAAAGGCGCAGACATACGTTTATTTGCAAATTGAAAGAGATGTAGTTCATAATGTGATAAAATTAATTTTATGAAAAATTGATTTGGAAAGACAATTGAATGAAAAAGACAATTAATGCAATAACCTTAAAAGTTTTTTTTATTTAATTTTAAAGTTAATTAACATTTACTAGAGATTTATATTAATATTTACTATTGTGAAAAAAGTAATAAGTACTATATATTAGAATTTTTTGGTGCAATACTACAAGATCTATTATGCAAAATATAATACTATTGAAAAATAAAAATTAAAAGAATTTACATAGCTTTAAAATTTATTTCTTGAATCCATTGTTTTCCACAAATACCATTCGCAATGTCATTAAATAAGAAAAAGCTGTTGATACGTACTAAAATATATAAAATGATAGCTTTAGATTATATTTTTTGGCTTTAGAATGAAAAATATGTACATAGCGATCAAATTTTTAAAAAATTTGTGTATATTCAAAAGCATTAATGATGGTACGTTTATGTTTAACGATTAAATTTCTTATACATAAAAAATATATTTTTTAATTTCTAACATATAAAAAATATATTTTTCTCGTACGCACATATAATAGTATGGTTATTTGATTTAATAGCATTTGATATAATAGTATGAGATTATATGAAAAAAAAAAATGGAAAATTTTAATAAAAGTAAAAAAAAATTTTATTAAAAATTTTAATTAAATTTTTGTAATTTATCAAAATTTAATATTTTTAGACAGAATCTACATAAAAAACTTTTTGATTGTTTGTAATGTTAAAAGTTATATTGAGGTAAAATATTAACTGTGTAAAAATTCTTTTAATTTCTAAAACCTTACCGATGCATAAAATTGTAACGATAAAGCTGGAAGGATAGAAACAGAAACAGTTGTTGGTGTTTGACTCCTTAGCAAGATAAAATTTAAATTTTTTTGAAAAATCTTGTCATGATTGTACCACGACGATTCGTAAATTGCTTGCGCAACATTGGTACTCTAATAAGTAATATGCATATTTTAATATAATAATATAGCCGAAATAATAATATAATCAAAACATGTAAAATGAAAATATTGTAAATAAATATGTGACGCAGGAAATTATCACTTTTTATTATAAAAAAGTAAAACTTTAATACAAACGATTTAACATATTATATTTTTTACAAATTTATTTTTATATGTATTTATTATATTATTTATTATATATATTTTATAGATATTTATTAACTATACTAATATTCGTATAAAAAAATAAATAAAAATTTTTAATATTTAAAAAAGAAATAAAGAGTTTATTTTATTGAATGGAGAACCAAATCAAGCGAAAGAAACAATTTAAATTTAAAATAATATAGATAATAATAGTCCATAACTTAATGATAGAACACACAGTTACAGTTATCTCTTTCGAATTATACCGAATTATTTAAATATAAACTAATGGAATCCAACTTACTGTATCTTTTAAATAATCGGATGGCCAAGTACATGCATAAACTTCCATAAGTGCAGATATACATAGAGCCATAAATTGTATTTTGTCTGTTAACGTACTTCGCTAGATTTATAATAATACTAAGATAAATAAAATGTAAACACATTCATATATGTATTCTTTTTCTCCAGTAGAATTATCGTTTTATCATGAGACGATAGTAAAAGGTATAAAACAAATTATACTTACGCTTACAATAGTTAGGCCACTAGCTACCATCGCCCACGTACAAATGATTATTAATGATAATATCACTGAACGAAAGGCAATTATTACTTCTTGAGCGTATCTAAAACGATTTGTTTTCTAAAGCTGAAAAAATTACTATATACTCAGTGAGAAATGACAATGAAATTAATCGAATTGACATCGATTCGATGTCGATTTGATG